TTTTTTGATCAGATAAATGCAGCCTTGATGAGCAGAAGAGACTACATTAAAACAATCTTATCAACCCCAAACCTTTGAAGTGTATATTATAGTTCATATTAAATTCATATTTGTTCATAATACATGAACTAATGTAAGTTTACATGAGTTAAAACAGTGTACAAATGTAAAAATAAACAAAGAAATAATAAATAAATAAATTTAAATAAATAAATATACAGTACTACAATGAGTAGAAAAACATCATAATGTAACTTCATAGAAACGAATGTAATGTAGAATATTTATTAATCATGAATTAAAGATTAATACTACGTTACACTAACATTTACTGACGTCATTAAAGGATAAGGCTTTTATTTTATAATTTTACACACATCATTGGGTTGCACTGACATTTGCATTCAGATTGATTGGTTTAGACCGTTACACCTGTTGTGTACACATTTCTCCTATAAGACAAAAACAGCGCAGTGGATGATTTAGCTTTCAGAGTTGCCATGTGTCCCCTGGATTTTCACAGTAAATCGTCCCCTTGGAATCATAAGGTTCTATCTGCATTCCGAGTAGTTTTGAGATATTGAGCTTCAAAGTTTTTTGCATTCCGTTCGACTGTTTAGATAGAACCTTTTTGTTTTTTTAAATATAAAAGTCCCAAAATGTACACAACATTACAAAATCTAATCGCATAATGTAAATAAGTTGTCACAGAATAAGAATATGTGAATAACTCAATTTTGACAAAAATTTCAGATAGGACCTTATAATTCCAAGGGGACGAAATATGTATTAGTTACATGATAACATTGACTCTCCAGTGAAGCTGCACTCACCCACAGTAAAACATTGCTTTCTGCCAGGGCTTCAGACGGTCCGCACGCGCCGCAATAGCATTCGCAAACTCAACGAACTGACAGCAGAAGGGCACCTCACACAGGAACAACACAAACGCCGTCAGCCTGAGGGGAAAAAGAAGAGATATGACTTACCTTCTGAATGACTTATATACTACATTAAAGAACACTGAATGAATGAACTGAAATGTAATTTCTTACACCATCCAAACTCCAGCCGCGATGTTTAACGGATTCACAGTCACGCAGTTCCAGATGCCCATTGATGCACATGCTAGAAAAAAAGACAGAAAAGTGTTTCGTTTTTGAAAAGAACATCTATATTTGTCATCTAAACAATAAAAACAGTGTGATTAGTGGTAAATCAAAATGGGGTTTTCCGGTAACCGTTATGAAAACCTCAAAATATCGACCAAATATTTGCCCTATAGCCCAGGATTTCCCAAGTTAATAATTAAATAAATATTTTACAAAATATTTATTTAACATTTTTTATTAATAATAAATCAATAATTTCAAAATAAAAAAATACTTAAAAAATAAAAACTGGGGTCTGAGAGTGCTAAGGGTTCACGGAAAATTTAAAAAAGAAAAACAGTGTTAAAAAACAACAATATTAATGAAAACATAATTAAACAAAATTAATTCATTCATTTTGTAAATAAAAGATTCATATTAAAAAATATCATTTGATTTAAAGTTAAAATAAAAAAACAACGATTTTTAAATAAACACAATCAATACAACATTTACTAAAAAGAATAAATATTTTATTTGTTTACCTTCATGTCATGTGAACATAAATCAATATCATCAATAACAGAGAACTTTGAATATGCAAATGTGTTGTAAAATTATTGAAATATTAACTTAAAATCTTATATATATATTTTACTAATATGATTAAACAATTACAATATAGTAGTTAGGATCAACCTTTACATCCTGTTTTACATATTGATTTATGCTAAAGATTAATGTCCCGGTCCTAATGGAGGTTTCAGATCAGGACCCGAGCATGTACGTTTATTTAATGGCTGCTTCAGGAACTTGTTATACTTTGTTCAGAAACAGAACATTCAAAAACCCACAGGAAGGAGCGGCTGGTTGACTGGACGGAACGCAAGCTTTTGTTGGGTTTGATGAGCAGCTGCTTCTGTCATCTGTGTCTCAGCATATGTAGAAGAGAACAGAGGACTATTGATGCCAGCTGACACACACACACACACACACACACACACACAGACAGAGTACTGCTGGTACAACAGTGTATGTGTGTTCAGATCTAGTGTAAACTCAATCTTTGTGTCTAATGAATAATACTGATATACTGAACAGAATATTACAGAACCGATTAAGTATATCTGCCTGCAGCTAAATCACTCAATATCAGAATACAGTCAGAGACAGACAGGATGTGCTTGCACTGGAGAAGCCGTTTCAAACAAAAAATAATATATACAGTGGTGTGAAAAAGTGTTGGAGGAAGGGGGCCAACACTTTTTCACACCACTGTATATATAAAAAAAATATATTAGAAAAAAAATAAAAACATACATATATATATATGTTTTTATTTTTTTTCTAATATTTATTTATTTTAATATTATTTTTTATTGTACAAAGAAATAATACAAATAAGATTTAAATAAAAAAATTGATTAACATGAATATGTAAATAAATAATAAATCTAACAGTACTAGGAGTAGAAAAACAATGTAAAATACGTAAAAGAACGGGGAAAAAAAATTTCAACTCAGTAAAGTAACTTAACAGAAACTAGATTTTGTGCAAATAATATTTTAGATATATTTATATTTCACAGTATAAACAAGAAACTAAATAGATGGCTGTTAAATGTTAGGATGAAGATCGTATCTGGGAGTCTAAAGCACCTGAAGGACTGAAAACCCCTGCACTAGAAAGAGAGATATTGTGTTATTCATAACACATGGTGATCCCCAACAAAAGCCACAACAGAATAAAGGGATGAGAAAGAAAAGAGCAAGAGAAGAGAAAGTTGCAGTTGCTATGACACCTGTGTTACCATGACAGTGTCTACAAAAAGAGCTCCAACAAACCCCTCCAGCATCTCAGAGTGAGTTTACACCTCAAATCTCATCATATTCATCACTACATAATGGATTAAATGTGCTTTAATCAATATATGAACTCATTCCCCGCACTTTAATACATAAAACTGAAGAATATTCATATATCAATACATCTGCATGCTACTCCAAGAATACTACGGTATAGCCCTGGAAGCATAACTATGGTACTTATTTGTAGGTGTTGATTCTCCATGACAGAATTTCTATGGGTTTTCTATGAGAGGCACTGTGATTGATTAGACTTGTCTTTGTTGAAAGCAATGATCTGATCGAATGTATTGATTAACAGACTGTGAGACAAAATGATGTGCATATGCTGGTCTATATGATATTGTGATTGATAATAATCAATAATATGGTTCACCTATATTATATCATGCAGGGGTTTTCTGGGGTCTGTGGAAAAGTTTTGAGAAAATCAGTCTAAAAAAATGAAAATAAAAATACAATTAAACCAAATAAATAAATATACATGTTTGATTAAAATAAATAAATAGATCAAAATAAAAATGGAATATATTTTGATTTAAATAAATGAGTTGGAGTCAATTAAATACATAGATTAAAATGAAAAAATGTATAAATTGATTAAAATAAAAAATAATATAAAACTGAATTAAAATAAATAAACAGATTAAAATAAAATGTTTATCAAGTTTGATTAAAACATAATACTTTTATTTAAATAACTTTGATTAAAATAAATTAATTAATTAAAATACAAATAATATATAATTTGATTTAAATAAATAAATACTACATTTAACAGTTCAGCACTTTAGTGAGTAGAAAAATGTAATAAATGTAACAACAGATTATATATATATATATAATTTTAAATAATGTTTCACACATATTTATAATAATTTTTCACAGTATAAATCGAATCTTTATACGTAAAAAACTCCCCTTTTAAATTGGGGTCCCTCACACATAGCAGATAATATTTGGACCTTCACCCTGTATTTACTCAATGTGATGTGGTTTACAGATCTACAGATCATATTAGATTTTCAGCGGCTGTGGGAAGTTTGTTGCCAGGTGTCTCTGCGCTACACGAAGCCGAACCTCGCGCCGGGACCAGCAGCAGAACGCTGAACCGGACAGACAGGAGACCATGAGCTTCTTATTGTGAGTTTGACTCGGTGATTTAGATGAATATTTATAGATAAGTATCAGTTTACTCCTTTAGCTCGTCTTGCTAAAGAGCTGGTTGAGTTTTTGAACCGCATTGACCTCAGTTCTGCGCGCGCGGTTCGTTAAATGTGTCAGTATTTCAACTTGACAGTTGCGTTAAAATTGGGCATTTTTCACGCAAATGCTTTGGGATCGAGATCAGCCCGATTCTGGCACATTTGCCCCGGTTTCTTGGCTCTCTGATGTGCTGGACTGGAAGGGGGGCAGATCTTATGTAATGCATGTTTGTTTCACACTGTGCTCTTCAAAAAGCACATTGTGTGTCACTTTGTATCAGAGATCAGAGAGTTGCATGGTGTGCAAAGCCTGTGATGCATCCAAAGTTGGAAAATCTTCTGAATACAGACTGTATGCTGAGAAGCTGAGCTGTTGATGAAATTGCATGAAATGCAATTGTTAGCAGGCAGTGCAACTGTCATATGAATTACTTTTTAAATGACAAAAAAAATTTTATCCACCCAAAATGATGATTAATTCAGTTTAACAGCATTGCATCATTCTAATCGGTGTGCAAAGCCTGTGATGCATCCAAAGTTGGAAAATCTTCTGAATACAGACTGTATGCTGAGAAGCTGAGCTGTTGATGAAATTGCATGAAATGCAATTGTTAGCAGGCAGTGCAACTGTCATATGAATTACTTTTTAAATGACAAAAAAATTTTATCCACCCAAAATGATGATTAATTCAGTTTAACAGCATTGCATCATTCTAATAGCATCATTTTGGGAGGGAACAGGGTGTATGTGCTTTCTCTGTAATTACTTTAAAGAACATGTTTACCTCTTTACCAGAGGAAGGGAGTGAGGAAATCTCAAACGCAGAACATCTGATTCTGTAATCTGAAGTCTTGGCAGGAGTTGTTTGTTATGATGCATCATTCTGAAATTGAATTTACTGATAAAGATGTCTAGAACCATTAGAGAAGTCCGTCATAAGAAAAACAGCTGAGAATGATTTCATTTGGAAACTATTGTGAAGTGCTTGTGATGGTTCACCGGAAGCATGTGATTTCGGAGAAGTTAAGAACAAACGCAGACATGTAACGTCATTGCCATTGTGATGTTTTTGAAGCTGAATTGAAGTGTGTAATCCTTTGATTGGAACCCGATAAACTGCATGTCTGTGTCTGAAGATTTGCTTTGTAAATCAGATGAGAAATATGTAAAAAAAAAAAAAAAAGTGACATTATAACACACACATGCTTATAACAATCCTGATTAGGCGGTATTTCGTATAGACTATTTTTAACTATTTTAAATGTACTCACCCTCAGGACATCCGAGATGTAAATGAGTTTTTTCTTCATCAGAACAGATTTGGAGAAATGTAGCATTACATCACTTGCTCACCAGTGGATCCTCTGCAGTGGATGGGTGCCGTCAGAATGAGAGTCCAAACAGCTGATAAAAACATCACAATAATCCTCAAGTAATCCACAGCACTCCAGTCCATCAGTTAATGTCGTTTACAGCGAAAAGCTGCTTGTTTGTAAGAAACAAATCCATCATTAAAACATATTTATCCTCTATCTGTAGTATTGCTTTCTCCACTGAAAAAGTCTTAATCAGAAGAGAAATATGCACTGATCAAGCACAGTTTAAGTGAAAATGGTCCAAAACAGTTCTACACAAATATGTCGGTGGGTTTTGTTGTGAGAGGACAAAAGTCCTCCAGACTTTTACACTGGAGGAATTGTTTTTATGAATTATGGACTTTTACTTTGGGACAGAAACAACAGTTTAAAGTTAAACCGCCTCAATAATGGATTTGTTTTGTACAAACACTTCACAAGACATTCACTGATGGACTGGAGAGGATTATTGTGATGTTTTTATCAGCTGTTTGGACTCTCATTCTGACGGCACCCATTCACTGCAGAGGAGCTGAGAAGCTGAGCAAGTGATGTAATGCTACATTTGTCCAAATCCGTTCTGATGAAGAAACAAACTCATCGACATCTTGTATGGCCTGAGGGTGAGCAAAGTTTTGGCAAATTTTCATTTCTGGGTGAACTTTCCCTTTAAGTGCATTTTCTGTTCCATCTCCTCCAGCGGGAATCGTTCGTCTAAGACGTTTAAGCCGAAGAAGAATATTCCCGAAGGTTCTCATCAGTATGAGCTGCTCAAACATGCTGAAGCCACGCTGGGCAGTGGGAACCTGCGGATGGCCGTCATGCTTCCTGACGGAGAAGATCTGAATGAATGGGTGGCTGTCAACAGTAAGAACCAAGAGTGACGTCATATTTATTAATTATCCCCACACACACCCACAAACTGATTCATTTGTTCTGTTTCTAGTGTGTTTTGTTATTGCAGATGGTTTTCTTGTTTCTCTCTGTGTTCAGTTGCTTTTCTCATTACCTTCTTAACAACTTTGACCCTTGACCTATTGATGACACCAAACCGGACCCATCCTGTCCTGACCGATCACCCAGTCAGTCCCAAGAGACCCTGTGTCCATTGCAAAATTACTAACACACCTCCCCCAACATGCACACACATCCAGCAGGATCCAATAGTTTGAGACTTCTAGTGAAATTGCTGCTGTTTTGTGTTCCTTTGCAACTGATCAAATTTGTCAAGAAAAATGAGAATAATCATCATTGTAGAAAGTTTTAAAAATGAACACGGCTTTCACGATTGTCTTAGTATCTCATTTGTCTTTCTAATGACATCAGCACCGGAACCGACAGGAACAAAACCTAATGATCATGTGCTCCAGCATGATTCGAGATGGTTCATGAGCATCTTGTGCGTCAGTGGAAGCAAGCACATCTGACTGCCTGTGCCAATACCAATTAATAATCAAACAAAAAAGATGGAAAACAAACTAGAACGTCTGATTATGCACAAAATAATAATGAAGTTAAATGTTTCTGTTTGGTTGTTTCTGCAGCGGTGGATTTCTTTAACCAGATTAACATGCTGTACGGCACCATCACGGATTTCTGCTCGGAGGACAGCTGTCCGCTCATGTCTGCAGGACCAAAGTGAGTGTGTTTGGACAGTGAGGAATGAATGATCGTGTCTCTCTTTGTCTCTGTATTACTCATCTCTTTCCCTTTAGATACGAGTATCACTGGGCAGATGGGACCAACATTAAGAAGCCTATAAAGTGCTCGGCTCCCAAGTACATTGATTATCTGATGACGTGGGTTCAAGACCAGTTGGATGAGGAGACCCTGTTTCCTTCTAAAATAGGTACCTGCTGCAGAGATATTTTAGTTTCATTGAGATGCTAATAAAAATTGTTTTTTGTGGTTTATATATATACATACAGTGGTGTGAAAAAGTCTTGGCCCCCTTCCTGTTTTTTAAATTTTTTGCATATTTGTCACAC